TTGAATATTGGATTAGTTGTAAATGTATTACATTAAATGTTCGTAAATGCATTACGCAACTGCACTTTTTATCTGTTTAAAATAAAACTCATTTTACTCTTTTTAAGTTTTACAGTCAAAATTAAGTTTCCATTAAGGGTCCAACTTGACAAAAAAAAAAAAAAAAAAAAANAAAAAAAAAAAAAAAAAAATACTCGACATAATAAAATTCTTAATAAATAAATTAATATTAATTTGTTTTTACATAAATTTGTACAAATAGTTTGTTGACGTTTAAAAAATATTTCGATACAAGTACAATTTTATATTAAGATGTTACATTCCCTACGATAGTATGGTAAGAAAAATCAACTTCTGTCATCACTATTCACTTGATACAAATAAATAATAAATTAATATGAAAATTTAATGTTTATCAAATAAGATCAAATGCGATCAGCGCCTTACTTTTCACATAACACTTTATCATACACATGATGTTTTATACCTTTACATTTATTGGCTGTGTATTAAGTTATACGATTTGTCTGAAGGTAAAAAGAAAACGAGAATCGAAAAATAAAAAACAAACCAGTCACGGTCGGTAATTTGACCATAAGGCTCGGCTTAAATTTAAACTTGCTCTATCTGGAATGTATTTTTTTATTGTTTTACGATACAGGGAGTTTACTAAGTTTTTTTTTGGTTTCTTTTCCTTAACTTAAATATGTGACAATTAAGCATTCAAAGAAGGTTTCGTTCTAATTGTTCATAAAAGTATTTAGTATCAATACTTCTACATCCGTAAACGCACTATCTCCAATTACAGGAAATGATATTATTTAACGACTGAACTCTATTTTATATCGACGGAAAGTCAGATAAAGTTTCAGGCAAATAAAAACACAATATCTGACTCAAACAATCTGATTTTATTAAGTGTTAAGACTTGTGCGGACGTTATGCTATTTAAAAACAACTTTAAAAGGGGTAATTACACGTAAACGTGTGGTCGAACGCAGCTAGAATTACATAGGTGCAGGGGGATAGGAGTAAGGGCAGCTATACACGCGTATAACATAAATATACATACACGTATATGAACGGACCCATACCATACCACGGGTTCTCTATAATTACGAGATAATGACGACTGCGTTTGTGTATTGGGACTTATTAAAGAGAGAAAGAATTGCCGATGGACGGGCGGTGGCGGCAATGACTGCAGTGGCGGATACGGCGATGGAGGCCCGCGGGGTTATACGTGTCGGTCACAGATCAAAGCAATCGCTACACAATGGCCAACGGGCGAGTGGTGAGGTAAGGGAGAGTAGCAGTGGTGGGACAAGAAAGAATACGGCCGCGTGTATACGAGAAAAGAGATGGAGAGTTAAATCACCGTGTGCAAACGGCCACCAGTAGAGACTAGAGATGCCACATGTTCGAACAAACAACCTCAGTGTGTCTCAAATTTTATTTATTTTTAACGGATAAAACAGTATAACCAATTGTTTTAAATATTAGTAACAAGTATACTGCCTTGATATAATAATAATCTTAATCGGTGTATGATTAACAGAAGTAAAAAATTAATTAGGCAAAAAAAGTATACGATTTCCGAGTAAAAAAAATTACATATATTAGTGCATTACTACTTTCGTCAACCAGTAATAAAAAAAAATTCTAATGCAATTAGTTAAATTTAAATAAAATATGTTGAACTGGATTTCATGCAATATATTTTTGTTAAATTACTAATTTTTTATTTAGCATAAACGAAATAAAATAATATATCATGTCTTTGAATTTTATGCGAAATAAATTTATTGATTTATATGAAGATTTCCTTAGAATTTTCGGTGAATATTAGTTACCGATATTAAATAAACTTAATATAATATCGGTAACTTTATATTATAAAGTATAGAGTATTATTGAGTAAATATAAAAAATTTATTCATTTTTTAAGTATAAATTAAAGTATGGAGATAATTGACACGATTTCTAAAGATAAACATAAAACGAAGTATTTTACGTAATTATTTTGCCTTATATCCATTAGTTGACAGCAAAGAGTAGATTGTTCTCAGAAGTTTATCATTTGGCTTTGATGTGACAGAAGCCAACGACTTTTTAATCGAGTACCAACCAACATCAAGTAATCTAGAATAAAAGGGAGGGAAATAAAGAAACATCTAGACATTATCACTTAAATAGAGGTGACGATATAAAATATATATATTGAAAAGATCACCAAAAGCGACCACTTAAACTTTTTTAATAAATAACTTGACTAAAGTCCTTTAGGCAAGAAAGTTATTATTTTTTTTTTTCAAACCTTTATTTGTCTACTACCATAATATTATATATTATTAATAATAATGAAAATGTATGACAGAGAAAATGTTGAAAAGAAGCTTGTTTTGATGTGAAGTAGCCACTAACATCACATCAAAGAGAGAATGAGGTTTAATAAATTTGGAGAGAAGTTTTTCCTCTGAAATCAAATCATGTGACCAATCACGTTTCACACACACTTGCCTATCAGACTTGTATGGCATCTACAGAAGTTTGTAGGCTTCTACCGTGTGTTCTTTTGTACAGATCATGTAATAATTGAAGTCAGGGTTTCACAAAATAGATGCATTAAGGTTTTATTACGATTATGATAAAGCAGGCTTGTATTAAGAAGGAGGTAAGGGGGTCAGGTCACTCAATACCACGAAAAATAGGGTCCTACACAGAAAAATAAACTAGTCTTTTATTTTGCCTAATTAGGTAAAATAGTAAAATAGCTTTAAAAAAATTAGTTATATTATTATTAATTTTTTTTATCATCTACCAGTTTTTATTTGTGTTGTAATAAATAACATTGATTTACACAAAAATAGTTTTTAAGAAAAAACTTTTCTTGGGTCTATTAAAAAATCTGGCTACCGGACCCTAAATAGGTATAATGCTAGAGTACAATTTCATAAATTTCTATGAATTTGCAAATAATAATTAATGTTAATATATTATCTCCATTAATTTTTAGTAATTATTTCATTATTAGAGTAAATTCAATAAAATATAATATAATAATTATATATATATATATATATATAATTATATGTAACAATTCAACTTATTTTTATTTTATTATATTTAAACAGAAAAACATCTTATGTACTTCTATTTTAGAATATATCAATAGGTAAACCTAGGGTTATATAAATAAACAGTTTAGGAATACTTTTACAAAGCTCACAATCATTTTGAAAGGAATACGCATACAATATCAAACAATATAAATAATTAATATCAAGATATTATACAGAGTTCTACTGAAATTAAAAAAAAATGAAGGGGTTACAAAAAATATATAAATCACACTTTTAAAATTTCTTTTAATTATTGAAAGGTTTAAAAGCTTGATTAATAACTAAATATAAACTCTTTAAATTATATAGTTATTATTTTAAGATTATCTTGAAAATAACTTCAATCGCTAGAATATAACTTACTAAAATTATATAGTATTTATGAAAAAAGATAAATATCCCTATCATTAGAATAATTGAACATAGGTTTAATAATGAAATACTAAAAATTTATAGAATATGGGTAAAGGAGGGAATTTTATCTTTTTACCTAAGGTTTAATGTTATTAAATACATCTCTGTGCTTAATGATGAGTTTTTAATTATATTTAAAAAAAAATCACTGAACAAATTTCATAGAGAATTTAAAATTTTTAGCCCAAATATTTTTTTCTATGCAAATTAACCATTATTTCAATATCACAAAATTTATATGATATTAAAATAATGGCAAACTTGCTATCAGTATGTATTTAGCGTTGATAATAGTAACATTTTTCCCAAAATATGTATCTGCGATTTTAGTAATTTTTTTGTGGCTGTTTGAGATAATTATTTTTTAGTTTTAAATTATTATTTATAATATAGTTTTAATTTAAAATAATATTAGCAAGAGGTGATCAATTTTAATTATATCGCTATTTTTTTTTTTTTGCTATACATTAAAAAAAGAAAATTGTGGCTTTCAAATGTGTTCAATTTTTAAGATGTTATTTATTTATTTTAAAATTAAAATTGAAAATGACTACAAGCATAAAACTATTTTCTATTCTATGTAACATATGAAACAAGTGTCACAATTAACTATACTTCTTTGTACTGAGATAAATGTCTAATAAAATAAAGTTTATACAATTAAACTTTTTCAAATAAATTTCTATGTTTACAACATTAATAGGATGAATATACTGCAAATCCTTAATATATCATGAATGGTAAGATAATTAATTTTAAACGTCAAGATTAAAGGAAAATTTATCAAATAAGTTTCAATTATTTAATTTAATCAAATATTAAAAATAAAAACAGATAGATTACTAAGCATATACATTAAAATATTAATAGAGAAGTGCTTTTCTTTAGTTTATATTTCCTTACTCAGATTGAAAAATTTGAATGACATACCTATGAATAACTTTTATCAATTTATACTAACAAACTATTAATAATAAAAGGATTATAAAGTATTAAAATGTTGCAATTTACTTATATAGGATTTACTCAAACATTAATTGTGAAAGGGTAAAAGAGATGAAATCATAGTAAAAAAATATTTTCGAACATACCATTGTTGGTGTATAGCAGTATTTATTTTAGGAACCCTTTTAAATTAAATTAATTATCACACCAATTGAATACCTACACAAACACTGAAAATGCATTGAATAAACAGAATCAAATTATAAACATACATTCATATTATTATATTTATATACAAATATATGTGCATATTCTAGTATATAAATATATATAAAAGAACTTAGGGAGACTTCAAAGGACTCTAATGTTATAAACACTGAAGGGGCCGATTGGTAGTTGATAGGGTGAAAACAGTGGCTGATGGTAGGGTGCAGAGTTAAACGGAGAAACGCGCACGACCACCTCTCCAACCACATCAAAGCGAAATAGCTAAGCCTTTGAACTCTACTTCACACTCACCTCTACTCAAACGTTCCTTTGATGTCCTTTGTGTATAAACGTTGCCACCGCGAATATAATTGTACGTAAAAGATCGTCCAAAATCCAATGACACTCATACCGAAACATGATTCACTAGGTTAATTTTTTTGAACAATTACAATAAAAAATATGTACACAATAAGAAAAATATTAATAAAATAATTAAATTAAATACACAAAAATTCAATTAAAACTGAACACAAACCGGACGGAATTCTTCTACACTACCACTCGCAAGTGTTTCACTATATTACATGATACACACACTAGACACAGAAGGTACAGTACAATGTTGTTTTTTCTATAGTTCTGTAATGTTCAGAGATCGGAACCATGGTAAACGGAGTAGATATGGTTGCGATCTCACATGCGGTTGTCGGTTATTAACTGGCCGGTAGCGTACAGTGCCACCTGTAGGACAATTATCAAACGGCTCATGGAATTTCATATATGAATGACCGTTAAATATTGTTAAAACTCGTATAAAATTATACGATTGTTTATTGTCTTTTTTTTTTAATGAATATTTAGGTCAAATAATATTGTAACTGATTTTATTATATAATTAATTTCAAATAAAAATTGTACCCAACAATAAAATAATTTAAGCAAATATATGTTCGGAAATTTGTTACAGGTACAATTGTGCTTCATAATAAAATACGGAGTGATGGGTTTAGCTAGCAGGATCAAAAATTTCATTTTCCGGGGGAGGGATCAATTTTGATTACAAAAATTTTCGATTTAATAGTTGTTATTATTTTCTTAGTCTTTATCCTAACTTTTAGGGTGGACTCTACCTTAGTGATTTGACAACATATTAACACCGGATGTCGACCTGACGTAATCTCAATACAGCTGAGGGAGCCAGTATGGGGCGAGGCAAATAGAATGCTATTTTTTAAATCCTTAGGATAATAAAATTTAACGAATTATAAAAAAGAGAAGAACTAAAATTTGAATAAAAATATTATGCAAGATGATTTATTAAAATTAAAATCTAATTTTCATGGAAACTATTGAAAATATTGAATTTTCGTAAAGGAAAATTGACCGATTAAAAGAATTCAATATTATAAATTTAAATATTTTTTTGTCCCTTGAGAGTTAAAAATCTAAATTTTAATTTTATTTAATGAGAATCATTATATTTTAAGTAAAATTATATGATAGGAAAAAAATTTTGAATACTTTATTCTTAAAATTTTTTTTATCCAATGGACCGTTAATATACTTCATGTTTTTTTGACATATCGTTAAAAAAGTTCGGTTCAGTTGGAACTGGGAATAATTGAAGACAAACAAAAAAAAATCCACATCTTAATACAATTAATACTTTCTTAGTTTCCTATCAAAGTTAAAACGTAAATTATTCTGTAACAATAGACAAAGTAATTTATGAGTAAACATTTAAAACAAATTCAAACTTCACAATTATATGAACTTAATAAAAAATGTAGAAAAACTGTAAAATTATAACTTGCTTATATGTAGAAAAACATATGTGTATTATCTCTTTAAATATTTTTAGAATAAAAATATTAGTAAGCAACTTCAATCTTATATCAGCAATATTGAAGTAATATAGCCAATTTATAATTGTTTTTTTAAAAATTCAAATTAGAAATTATTGGAAGTTTTTGAAATATAATTAAATAATAATAGGCCACTCATACATATCAACGTTTTTTATTCAATTTTAAAAATGTTTCGGAACTTCTGACATCTTTTCATCTATATCAAAATAAATATTTTAAAATATCCTGTGTGATTATCAAAAAAAATTCGTACAAAATATTTTCCAATTGTTTTTTAATACTTAGTTTTTTGTGTAATTAACAACCCAAAATAATAATTTAACTTGTTTATTTTAAAATGTTATTCAGTAGTGAAAAAATAAACCCAAGTTTAGTATAATAGAACCTATCGTTGTGAAAAATTGAAAAAAAAACCACAATTTTAGAAATTTCTCAAATATATTTAAATTACAATACTGTAAAAAATGTATTTTCAAAAAAAAAATTTAATTTTAATACAATATACTAGAGATAATAAGGTTCCTTTTGATATGATTTTCAAGGAATTTAAATAAAAAAAAAACCCAGCACAGGGGGGTCGCGGCACAGTGGTGACGTGGCATAGTTGGATCAAGTATAATGATATCTGACAGTGATTAAAATCACTATCAAAAATAAACACTTCGATGCCAATCTTTAGATAGTGTTTAATTTAAAAAAAATTGGTGTTTTATTCCAAAAGCTACTTGATCTGCTGGTTCCTTATTAATATCTCGATTAAGATAAAGTATGTCGAATGAAAAAGGGTTTATTAAAAAATATTATTTCTCATAAAAAAATTGTGTGGATCCATAAACTTTTCAATAAGTTATAGCATTATAAAGTTAAATATAATATAAATAATAAAATCGAGAATTTTCACACGAAAATAGCATTCGGTAGCCATTTTCGCC